GAGGATCAAATAACAAAGGAGCATGATTTCTGCCTTTGGGATTATCTAGCATCCTGTGTGATGGCTGTGATAAATTGTTCATAAAAGTTGAGGAGGTGCTCGAAGTGTTCATGCCATCGATCGACCTTGGCCGAGTTGTCGGCAATAAAACCTCCATTCACATCGCGAACAGAATCACAGAGTGTCGGGGACTCCATTCACATCGCGAACAGAATCACAGAGTGTCGGGGGCTTACCACTAACTTGGCCGATGATTTGGTACAATTTTCGAGCGTTACCAACATTTGAAGCCTGCTCCATAGAAGTCGCCCTTTCGTACCAATACTTCTGCTGGTCATCTCTAACCGACTTTGGTATCAGCTTTCGAAGTTGGCGGAAGGAGGCATCGTGGCGGGACCTGCCTCGAGCCGTCTCGGCCGACAGCTGCAGGGTTCTTCCGCTGATCCAGTCATTGCGGCGCCACTGAGTGAATCCGAGCTGCCCCATAGATGGATGCCTTCAGTGATGGCTACTTGCTACTGCCTTCGTTTTCGGCCTGGGTCGTAAAACAGGACCAGATTTCTGTGCTTAGGGCCTCGTTAGTGTTAGTTTGCCGGAGATTTGCGACATCCAGGCGTCTAGCACGTGGGAGTTTGGGCGCAGATTAGAGGTGAAACTTCAGGCGCGTGCGAACGAGAACATGTTCAGACCCGTGGACGTTACCAGTTTCGGCACCTCATATCAACCTGCTATCATGGACACAGCCGCGAAACCGTGAACCAATTAGAATGTAACTGATCTGACTGGCGGTACGGCCGTCGTTTGAATACTAGGTCAGTATATTTTTGTAACGATGCTGAAAGCATGTGTTAGTAACAAACAGTCGTTTCTGTGTGGCAAACTGCAGCATCCTCTCACTATTGTCTATTTGAAAACCAAGCCCAAAACGATCAAGTTCGCTGTTTGTCGCGTCACCAAGCCCAGTCCGGCCATTCCAGTCCCTGGCAACACTGACAGAGCACGGCGAGGCAGTCTTCAATATAGCTGCTGCAGCTGCGAGTAGAAATTCCCCTTGTCTTGCTGTTCAGCCGCTGATGTAAGTGCATACACATAAAATTGCCTTTTAGTCGAACATAAGCCATTCGGTCGTCGACTGGTTCCCATGCCAGTAATGCAAGGTTGGCTTGCTCCGAGAGGGCAGTGGCCGCACCGTGTTTACCAGATGAGTCACGCGGACCACTGTAATACAGGGTGAGATGAGAATCGACTCCTGGAATTTCGATTTCTCGGGCGC